AAAAGCTGTTTTTTTTTCAGTATTTCTTTTATATTAAGATTTTCATATATTTTCAACGATCGAATTTCTATAAGCTGCTCTCCCATTTGTCAGGCTAAGCCCCATCCACCCACAGATCTGAAATTCGCTTTCATTTTCGGTGCTTGCACTGATTTTAAATAACTTTTCAAGCGTTTATTATTTTCTAACTCATATTTTCATTATTTTATTAAAAGTCTTTTTTACTTATTAAGTACATATTTCAAGCAGGCCGTAACATGAAGATTAATGGAAGAGGGAGGTTACTATAATACTGTACCAAACTCAACTTACAAAAAAATATGTGCAATGGGCCGTGACTGGGCCGCTCAGAAAGGTTCGGTGGGCCACATGCAACCCACTGGCCACAGGTTAAGTATCGCTGCCTTATGGTGTATGGGCAAACCATTTAAGGGGTTCAATTCTAATACAAAAATTTATTTTTAGAACAAATGAAAAACATATAAATAATTTCTTTCAACAGTTGCGGAACATTTTGCAACACCTTTAAATAAACTAATATTTTCATTCCAGAAAAAATACATGAGGGTTGAAGAAAATTGTTACATGATTCCTCTGAGACCAACAGAAGACGGACGATGGAAATTCAAATCAAATATAGACGGTCTCGAAAAAGCTGCTCAAAATGCATCCGGAATTATGACCGAAACCACCGGTCTTTATCAAGGACTAGCCTTATTTATTTATGGACTGCAGTCTCCTTTCAGAGTGTAAGTAACTTACTTATACTTAACCATTCATAGGCACTGGAGTCGAAACAATGGAATCGTGAAAAAATTTCTAAGGTCATTCCATTCTGTTTTGTATTGTTTAAAGAATATGCTGAAGGATAGAGTAAAAAATGTCAAGTTTGATTGAAAAAAATACTTTCTAAAAAAAACAGAATTTTTGTTGTACTAAAGTAGGAATTATTCATGATTAAGTAACAAATTTTGGATGCACGGAAAAGACATAAATGCGTTTAACAGAGGGCAATCAGAAGAAAAAGAAGTGTTTCGTGCTCTTACCTCTACTTTTGTTTTGGAGTAAGTATACATGTTATTCAACTGATGGAGTTAAATTGATTCTAAGTGTAGGTTCACTTCAGAACAGTTCGCATTTTGATATAATAAATTTCTGACTTCAATTACAACAAATAGCCTTATATGTATATGTAATTAGCTGGAATACCCGTTTTTCACATGAGTGAATAGAAAAATAAAACAATAGAGATAAAGGTATCCGACTACCCTAAAATTGTGCATTTCGCCAAAAATTGACAAATTTTTTTTATTATTTTATTTTATAGGCCATCTTATTAGCTTTATAAAAATACCAAGTTTATCATTTTCCATTGCCTAGAACAAAAACTACAGGTGTTTTAGTAAAGTGTGCGTTTTATTCGAAATGTGATTTTTTGAAAATTCTCAAACGGGGTCAGCGATTGCTAAAAAAGTTTTGAAAATAATTAACTGAAATTTTTTGTGTAAGTTTTGTATAATAGTAGAAGTGTTTTAATTTTCAGATTTATCAATAATTGTTTTATTACAAAATTTACAGACCCTTATGTGAATATAATCACTGTTTTTTTAAGCAATTTCATATAGTAACTGAGATAAAGTGCTCTAGTTTTTGTAAAAATTAAAATATCTCTTATCCTGAAGGTCATTTCGAAAATGAATAACATAGCTACACACCAGAATTGAACATTTTAAAATTTGTTCATAAACTTTTGGAACAGAATATACCGCGTTTATGTAAATTTTTTGTTAATGTTTATCCATTTTTTCCCAATTTAGTTATAATAGTTCATTTTTCTCTGTTTTAATGTACTAAAAAAATTCTAAATGTACTAAAAAATCTATAAACAACAAAAAAATCCACATATCTTCATTTTTTAAAAAAAAAAGTTGTCGCAACCAGTTGGATACCTTAAAGGAAAAAGAAATATTTTATGTGTTAAATTTATGTATATGAATTGAAAATTAAACAAAAAAAAGGGTTTTTTAGCATATCTCTGCTTAACAAAAATCATGTTTGCCAAATTTAAAATCTGTGGGTCTAACAGTTGAAAAAAGGATTTTTTTTATCCAGAACATCCATGTGGGTTGACTTTAGAAAACCCCCTTCTTATCTGAGACAGCTTTTTTAGTATATCTCTGCTCAACAAAAATCCTATTTGACAAATTTAAATGTAAATATTAGTAATATAACTCTTATTATTCTAATACATTCAACATTTCTGAACATTATTTTATAAGTAATTTTTAAAATATTTGCTAAGCCACAAAAAAAGGCCCTGTCTTTAAATCAATTCTTTTTTTCGCTTTACCATATTAGCAACAATTCCAATGTCTACTTTCTAGGATTCGAACATAGATTCTCTGGAATTTTATGCCTGATGAATACAACGGTTCGATGTTGAAACATTAAAAAAAAAAACAGCTTCAAAAATGAAGTTGTAATTTTGTTACAAGAATTTCAGTTTTTAAAATATGTAGTATTTAATGCAGCAATACATAACGGATTTAAACGGCAAATACTAGTTAATAATATGGACATATATACCAGTCCATAATGAGTGAATTCCTTTTGAAAGTAATGATCAGAAGGAACAGTATTGCAGCAACAGCTATGCAGGTAACTCTAGATAAATTTTTAAACATAAGAGGAATTGATTAGAAAAATTATTACAGCTTTTAACTCTTACTATTTGAAAATAAGTAATATAAATAATTAAAGTGATAAGTTTCAGATTACCGTTTCCTTTTTACGTGGGATATATGCTCAAAAAAGTTAAAGAGGTATTCTTGTGTGTGTGACTTTTGCAAAATCTCTCTCTCTGGTTTAAATAATTTGGAATTGCACTCCTATAAATTCAAATATGAATTTTACCATTCCGAAAGAGAATCGTAATAATATTAAAATCAATAGAACCTTTCGGTATTTTTCCATTTAACCGGCTCAAGCGATAATATCGCCAAAAATGATACAACTGACGCCAAATGGAATATTTCAACCAGTAACTTTTTACTGCCTCATTTTCAAAACAGGTCACTGTCTTTTTAGCATCTTTTTCGTTGTACATCAAAAATAGATGAAAAACCAATGAGAACAAACATTTGTAACATTTTTCTTGTCTATATTGTGTGTTGTCGCCAATAAAACCTGCTTGGCGAGATTTACACCCTGCAAAATGAAAAAGTTCCATTATTTCTTATAATAAATATTATTGCTGCATAAACTGCTGCATTTTATGTGCCAATAATCATCAAGAAATTTAGCTTTAATTTGTGCTTAGAATTTTCAAATATGTTAAATAACATGTAAAATTAGATTTCAATTTAATATTTTTACCAAAAAGCATTCAATAGCCAGTATAAAATATCATACTCAATGGCATATGTATATTCAGTTTAGTTTTATTCATAGAAATATTACAAATTTGTTAAACAATTGCTGAAAAAAGCTCACTTTGTGTTATAGCTTTCATTTGTTTACACTGATATCTATTATATATATATATGTATATATGGATGTTTGTGCATATGGCCTCGCTTCACTCCAACACCATTCAACAGATCACTATGAAAATTGGCATGTATATGTATTTTTTGTGGAGGAGGTTTTTGTGCTATCCTTTTGTTGCAGCTCTCTACCAGGTGGCGCTACAGCAACTTCTGAACCTTTCAATCAATCGCAAAGTTGCCAATATGGTCACCAAAAATGCTGCCAACTTGGCTCTCTCGCCAGCATTTCGCAATGTTTCCATCGAATCGCCATTATAATTTAAGGAACGGGGTTGCTTGCCAATACCACAATTTTAACGTAAAATAAATACAACAGAAAGTAATATTAACGTATTATACATCCAGATATAAATTATTTATACTATTTTAAGCATTTATTACTCATAATTTGTAACAATATGTTACTTTTGCTGAGCAGAAATCAGCTTAGGAAGGTGTTTTCAAAAGTCGATCCGCAAGGAAGTTAAGGGAGCGTTATAAATAAAAAAAAAAATCCTTTATATCGGCTATTCGACCTACAGACTTAATAATTAACAAAAATTGTTTTTTTTTCCTGCTCAACTGCAATAATCAAAAAGCTAATTTTTTGTTGTTGTTGTTTAATTTGCAATTCATTTAAAATTAACTCATTAAAAACTTCTTTATCCTTCCACCTGTATTAATTTTTCAATTCACCCGTGCGAAGAACGGATATAGTTGGTATGACATATAATTTCTTTTTGTTTTAAATTAAATGTTAAGAAAATTAAAATGTTTTAAAATTTATGACACAATTTAATTTATATTATCATAAATTTGTAACAGTGTGTGTCTGCGTGTGCGGGCGTGATTTCTCTGCTACAATAAATTCACTTCAACATTTTTCACTTTACATTATAAGACGACTGAAGCCAAAACCAATATCATTCCTCTTATAAAAAAAACTGTTCACTTGTCTTGACTTTTCACTCTCTTACAGGTACATCGCCCCCGCTCTAAAGGAAATCTCCCGACAATTTAAACAGCCACATCTATCTACTAAACAATACATATTTATATTACCACAATATTGCCTGCCTAAAAATAGGATATTAAGAAATTGAATTATATAATATTTCCTTTTTATGTATCTTATATCCCAACATCTGACTTCCTCTTTTATTTAATGCTATGACCTTTGATTATGGGAAAGGCTTTTAAACAAGTAATATTAAAATAAAATTAAGTCAATTTCTACTTAGGTCAAAAACAAAAATTTTATTTTAGTTACTTTTTATTAAATAGTTGTAATTAATATAAATATGTATATACATATGGCAGAATCACAATATTAAATGACAAAATAGAGAAAGTTATTTTCCCTTTTCCTTTCTATATATGGTGTTGGACTATTATTTTTTGTTCATTAATTCAATTTCATTATTCTTATAGAATAGTATAGTAAAAATGAAATCACATTCTCAGAATTTAGGCCATCCTAGGTGGGATTCGATCCCACGACCTTTGAATGAGAAGTCCAACACGTTGTTCATGCGCTACAATGACTCAACGAACATTCCTTTCTATGTAAGCTGTTGGACTACTAATTTTGTTGGTTACTATTTATTCATTTTTTAATTTAATTAATGAATTAATATTTGAAAAAACTGTTGTAACATGAAGTGTTATCCACTACAAGTTTTAAAAAATGCATTTGAACGTGAATGGATGAATAGAAACTATTTTATTAATGATTGAAAATTTGAGCAAGATATATATATATATATATATATATATTGTAGGAAATGAAAAAAGGAATTCATAGGCATATCTATGCTATAACGCAAAATAAATAGTAGTCGAAACAATCAAATCGATTTCTTATTAGTATTAATAATATTTCATGGTCAAATGCCGTTGATCTTTGATAGTATATTTAGAATTTCTCTGTTTTCAATAACACTAAGCTATACCGTTCCTCTTTCTTGTGCTTGAGTTTACTTAAGATCATGGGTATAGAAAATGTTCACATATTTTTATTGCCAGGCCATAAAAGGAACGCAGCTTTTGTATTATCAAACTTTTTCTGATCGTTTATTTACTCCCCACACCCTAATGTGATCTCTTTAATATTCACGATCTGTACATTTAGTACCTCTTCAATTACAATCAAGTGACAAGGTTGACATGTGCGTTAACACCTTACTTTAATGTACATAACAATGCATGTTGTCGTGCCCCTGACCTATCTTGGACTGGGTTCACGTTGCCCGGCGCGCCTCTAAATGTGGAAGGAAACATATCATCACCAACGAAAGCCATAATTACAAATATTTATTGATAACACACAAATAACAAATACAAGTTCAAACTACAAGTGGAAACCTTGGAGTCATTATCCAATACCTAGATTAATCCTGATACTCAAATATTATACTCAAATTTAACCTTCAAATCTAATATTCCCGTCTAAGTAATCTCAGCTATCAGAATTGACAAAGAGACGAACTCTTACTAACGTCAGGTCGGTACTAAATCTAATCCCTTTGATTACTTCAATGATTAACAATATCAAATACTATCTAATGCGCGCTAAGCTCGCTGAAGAGGTCCGTAGACGATACTTACATTTAATTTGGCAATTCCTTCTCCTTCTCTTTCTTACTAAATCTAGACTTTATATAGTCGAACTCATTAGCATATCACTATCTCGTGTTTTTCCAGAGGAGGCTGTGAAATAGAATAATTGCTGGCTCCAACGTTACCCAAGAGGATTAATAGAAGATTGACGCGGATAGACCCGTCACAAGGTTTCCTCAGAAATATCAATTTTTGCACCAGTCACTATGGCAACACTACTTTTATTACCATTGTGGATTCACTATCAACCAAGTTACTGTTGTTTTATAAATAACTAGTTGGTCTACCCGTTCTCAGCACGTGTGAATTGAAAAATTAAACAATACAGATTGAAGAATAAAAAGTTTTTAATGCGTTAATTTTAAGTGAATTGCAAATTAAATAAAAAATGCTTTTTACATATCTCAGCTGAACAAAAAATCATATTTGCTAAATTTTAAGTCTGGGGGTCTAATAGCTGATAAAAAGGATTTTTGTTATTTCTAACAACTCCGTATCTCCCTTGTGGGTCGATTTTTGAAAACACCTTCTTAAGCTTATCTCTGTTCAGCAAAAATAACACATTGTTCCAATTTTTTGTAATGAACGCTTAAAATAGTGTAAATAAGTTATATCTGGATGTATAATGCGTTAATATTACTTTCTGTTGTAGTTATTTTATGTTAAAATTGTAATATTCACAAGCAACAACGTCCCTTACTTTATAATGGAGATTCAATGGAAATGTAGCGAGATGTTGGCGATAGAGTCAAGTTGGCATCATTTTTGGCGACCATGTTGGCAACTTGGTGATTTATTGGGCGGTGCAGAAGTTGATATGCTGTAGCAACATCTAGTGTTGAGCTGCAGCAAAAGAGATAGCATAAAAACCTTTTCCAGAAAAAAATACATATACAGGCCAATTTTCATAATGATCGGTCGAACGGTGTTGGAGTAAAGCGAGACCATACATACAAACATCCATTTATACATAGAGAGATAGTAAACAATGAAATAATTGTCACGAATATTTGTTTCTATTACATTATTAATTTTCTAACGTTGGTCAGACTTATTTTGTTATCACAAATACCACTTTTAAACAAACTATAAGCAAATATCTCTTATAATAGTAAATTCAATTAGAAATTAAATATACAGTTTGCATATATTCTGAATTTTAAACCAATCAAAATAATTATAAAATCGGTTGCAATTTCACTTAACACATTGAGAAAGCTCTATTGTTAAATCCCGTAGACTAGGGGTTTGTAGATAGGTTGTAATGCAGATTTCACACGAGACAACTTTGTGCAACTCAACTCCTTTTCTGTCTCCACTCTTCTAGTGTGAAGATGAGTGGGGAGGAATCCTTTCACACTCGGACACAAATTGACTGAAAAGGGAGTATAGTAGTGAAGGCGCAATCTCATCGGTAGTCTGATAGAGTTCGAAGTAAAACGCTTTCTCCTATCTCAATACTCAAGTAGCAGCATGTGAAGAGCATAGCTTCCACAATATCTTTTTAGTTGAGTCAACTTAGTGGGGAGGAGAAAGTGTTTTTTGAGATCTCAGGAAATGACACACAGCAGGAAGTGCCAGTTGATCACGTGTGGAAAAGTTTATTTCTATTCTAAACTTGCTCCCGATTCAGAATATTCGTAATAACGTACATATTTTAAGAATATTTTTTTGTTCAGATATTAATCCTTTTTTTTTCACAGGGGAAGTGATGAACCTAACATAAAACGGTTATTCCCAAACGCAGAGTTTGTAGCTGTCGAAAATGCAACCCACACCGTCCACAATGATTGTCCAGAAGTATTCACGGAAGCTCTAGTGGCATTTCTCCTGAAGGAATAACTTGATTTGGTTGCCTTGGTATCTGTACTTTTCTGTCTAAACTTGCCTTCCAAAGCTTTGTAATTTTTCTATCATTGATTCATATGTTAATAAATTTAAAAAACCTTGTGACTTTTCTCTAGTTATTTTCTATTTCTTACATAAAATGTCGCAACATCTATTTTTAGCAAAAATAAATGTGAAAAAAAAGTTCCATACAATTTTTCAGAAGCAATCTTAGTAACTACCAAAGGAATATAATTATATTTGTATTTTGTAAGAATTAAAATTTTGTAAAAAGTTTTTAAACGTGAGTAGGCTAAGTTTAAGGGATGCCATAATCACAGGATAAATACTATCCAGGCAATCGGTTCATGCGTCTCATAGTTGTCAACTTTTGCTTTTTACATATACTTTGTTTCAAAAATTACGTATTGGTTACCAATAATGAAGCATTTAGATAGGCATAAATACACTTGATTTAAAAGTGCCCATATAACGTAAGAAACATTTTTATTTCGAGAAAAAATTTTGACTACTCATTTTTTGAATGCTTCTTTACCCAATTGTCACATTTGAAATTGTATCTAGATTTTATAAGTTCAACAACAAATACAAGTTTAATGCCAGCTACGAATTCAATGGAAAACACGGGATTGCATTTCTTGTGTTACTGTCTTGAATTTGGGCCTTTAAAATCTTAATAAAACGTTCAAAATATAAAAAAATATTGTATGCTAAACTATCGAATTATCTTGCTCTGATTACATATGGCAACCCACAACTTATTATATTTCCATTATTTGTTTACTGTATTGGTGATCTCAGCAAATTTACTAGGATTTGCAATCCCGTGTTATATTTTCAATTCCGGAATTTCGGGATTAAGTAATCCAAATCCCGAGATACCGGTATTGGTCCCGGGATTAGGAATAGACTATTCATTAAAAATACTTACGCATTAGCGTAGCTAAAATTGCATAATAAAACTGAAACTACAATTAAATATTGGTTTAATATTAATTTTATTGAAACAAAAAAAACCTTAATTTATCATAAAAAAAACAATGAAAAATAGTATATAATGAAATTTTAAAAAAAATAGTTCTTCATTTCTTGTGTTTCTGTAAATAAGCTTTTAAAAAACAGATCGTCCAGCGTTTCATCGTTCAAACGGCTACTTAGTTTTATTACAAATTGTTCTGACGAAGAAAATGCTCGTTCAGATTCTTTACTGGTAGGTATTATCGTCATTAAATAGGAGTAATTTCTTTTCAGGTAGTCACAACTTCTCCCTCCAGTTCAAAAAAGATATTTCTTTCTGCATTTTTGATGACATTGTTTCAAATTTGATAGACTGCATTAGTGCATATAACTCTTTGATAACTTTATCTAGTTTTCTTCTGCTACACTATAAATGGTTTTTATATGTATAAATTCATCCAGTTATTGAATCAGAATGTGGATATATTTCAAGTGTTATCTCATTTGAAATTAAAGATTCAGTTGAATGAGCTGTTAGTAATGCATTGGGTGCCTTAAGTCTTTATAAATTTATCAGCTATTAAATAATGACATTTAATTGAAGAAGGAACTGTGACAAAATCTATTCATGAAATGTTGCATATATTATTGTGTAAGTGTATAGCAGTGAGCCACTTAGATCAGAGCAACGTTCTCCCGTACGAGAAATAAGAGCTGCATATATTTTTTTACTTATAGCACGTATAATTGTACAAAAAAAATTCTACGTTCATATTTCATAAACAAAATATAAATTCTTAGAAAATTTTGATGAGAAAAAAATTTTAAAATATAATTTAGACAAAAATTAAATCCCGGGGCTGCAAATCCTAGAATATTCTGTACACCAATTCCTCTGTCTTACGCAAAAAATTTTAAGTGAAAAAATGTTTTGATCTTAAAAAGTGTGCCAAGAAGAAAGCCAAATTACTAAAACACAGTTCTTAAGGTAAATATGGCAACTTAACAACTGGAGTAAAATATTTAGTAATTTGAAACGATTTCAATACACATAAATTGTCATAATGTATCTATCAATTCATTAAAAAAATTTCCTACAAGAAGAGAAATTTTTAAGATTT